AGGTGGTAACCTCATTGTCCATCTTTTATTAGTACCTTGTGCTACAAATTGTTCTCAGGACTGAACCCGGGGCTTCTCTTTGTGTTGAACCGTTGCTTTATCTCAGGTGGATGAGGCCTGTGTAACTACTCATCCTCTTGCCCTTTTGACTTGGCCACCAGGGAGCTTGGTGCAGTTTGGCACTGAGGCTCTGGGGACCCCAAGAAGCAGGAGAAGCTTGGTCTGTTCTCAGGGAGTCTGGAGGCAGATGGACCCCTGGTCCATTGAAGCCAAAGGCAAAGGGTTGGATTTGGGGGCTACCACAGCCCCAGCCCTAGTGGGTGACAGCTGCCTCCTCACCCCACAGGAGGGCCGCGAGCCTGACTACTCAGAATACAAGGAATTCAAGCTGACCGTGGAGAACATCGGCTACCAGATGCTGATGAAGATGGGCTGGAAGGAGGGCGAGGGGCTGGGCTCCGAGGGCCAGGGCATCAAGAACCCAGTCAACAAGTGAGTGGCCCTGGGGGGAGGGCGTGGCCATGAACTTGGGGCGCAGCTCCCCTGCCTCCTCCCCACTCTACCCCTTTATAGCACTGCTTTTCTGTTGTGGCAAAATGATCACAGCACCCTACTGCACACCCCTTGTCAGGCACAAGCCTGCAGTGCAGTAGGCCGTACGGGCCAGGGCTTTCCCAGGGCTGCCCGCTGTCCCCCTTGTGAGTCTCTAGGCCAGGTGAGGTGGGTATGGGTACAGATGGGTGAGGCCCTCATGGGTCTGTGTGCCTTGTGAAGGCCTTTTTTGAGTTCTCCATGAGTGCAAAACCAGTCCCAGAGATGGGCAGGAGCTCTCCCAGGTATGACCCTGGCTCTGAGTGCCCCCTTCGAGGCTGTCTTTAAGAGCTGTGACCACCTGCACTGTGGGCTCCTCCTCCCTGTGTGAGTCCCTGGAGCCTGGGAGCCCCCGGGCTCTCTCTTCCTTCACTATTCGGGTTCAGGCTTCTCTGCGCAGATATGGCCCAGCCCAGCCCTGCGCCCTCGGGAGGTGCTGCTGAGATCCCAGCTATGCACAGTCCCTCTGCCTGGAGTTCCAGCCCCAGACCCCTTCCCACTGGCACTGACCTGGCCTCCCGTTCACATCACCTCGTCTCCTCCCTGTAGGGGTACCACCACAGTGGACGGCGCTGGCTTTGGCATCGACCGGCCGGCCGAGCTCTCCAAGGAGGATGATGAGTATGAGGCCTTCCGCAAGAGGATGATGCTGGCCTACCGCTTCCGGCCTAACCCTCTGGTGCGCATCCCCAGCTGGGCTGCCTTTTCTCAGTCGGCAGGAGAGGGTGGCGGTGGGAACCGAAGGCTCCCTTCCTTCCACAGTCCAGCCGGGCCGGGCTCACCAGTGAGACCCCTACCACCCTCCTGCATTCAAACCCCCTCCATCCCCCAAACCTGCCCTGCCACCTCGAGGGTGTGAGCTCAGCTGCCCCCAGAAGGTTCCGGACAGGAGGAATGCTGACTACCATTAACCCCCTTCTGTTACCTGTTTTGCCTTTCACAGAACAATCCCAGACGGCCTTACTACTGAGTCTTCTGGAAATGTGTATTTTCTGAATGACCAACCGTCCCTGGACTGTGGAATGTTCCAGCCTGCATTTCTGCCCACCCCTCCCGTTGTCACGAGTGCCGTGCCGTGTAATAAAGTCCCAGTGCTCATCCGCCGCAGCTGCCTGGTCCTGTTGCAGGAAGACCTTCCTGTCGCTTAGCAGCCGGGCCAGGCCAGTCACAGGTTGCAAGATGCTGTCTCAGGGCTCCTTGTTGGCCTGCGGAGTCTCCGTCCCTGCTCGGCCTGGGTTGCACTGGAGGGGAGAAAAGCTGTTCTCAGCATAATAAAGCTGGAAGGCCGGGTGCAGTGTCTCACACCTCTAATTCCAGCATTTTGGGAGGCCAAAGAGGGTGGATCACCTGAGGTCAGGAGTTCTAGACCAGCCTAGCCAATATGGTGAAACTCCATCTCTACTAAAAATACAAAATTAGCCGGGTGCGGTGGTGTGTGCCTGTAGTCCCAGCTACTCAGGAGGTTGAGGTGGGAGGATCGCTTGAGTCCAGGAGTTCTGGGCTGTGGTGTGCTATGCCGATCGGGTGTCCGCACTGAGTTCAGCATCAATGTGGTGACCCCTTGGGAGTGGGGGACCACCAGGTTGCCTAAGGAGGGGTGAACCTTAGTAGGTTCAAAACTCTGTGCTGCTCAGTAGTGGGATCCCGCCTGTGAATAGCCACTGCACTCCAGACTGGGCAACAAAGTGAGACCCCATCTCAAAAAAAACAAAAACAAAAACCAAAAAAAACGCAAAATTAGGTAGGTGTAGTGGTGCACACCCACTGCACTCCAGCCTGGGTGACAGAGCAAGACTCCATCTCAAATAATAATAGGGCAGCCAGACACTGTGGTTCACGCCTGTAATCCTAGCACTGGGAGGCCGAGGTGGGACGATCATGAGGTCAGGAGTTCAAGACCAGCCTGGCCAATTTGGTGAAACCACGTCTCTACTGAAAAATACAAAATTTTAGCAGGGTGTGGTGGCGTGCACCTGCAGTCCCAGCTACCTAGGAGGCTGAGGCAGGAGAAGTGCTTGAACCTGGGAGGCAGGTTGCACTGAGCTGAGATTGTGCCACTGCACTCCAGCCTGGGCAACAGTGAGACACTGTCTCAAAAAATTAAGCTGGAGACCTGGCCACACCTGGGCTAAAGGAGTGTCGGGAACCTCCCAGCCTAGCACTGTCCTTCAAGGGAAAGGTTGGGGAGGGGTCTCCAGGCAGGGCCCCGCCTTCCCTCAGACCTGTGGGGACAAGTGGCTTCTGGGCACACCTGTGTGCTCTCCTCCCAGCAGGTGGTGCTGGCAGGGCCCAGCACAGGGCAAACCCACCACGTGATGGCTATGGCCCTTCAGGTCCCACCAGTGTCATAGATACATGAGTCCCTGGGGCTTGTGGTGTTAGGGGACAGCCACATGGATGGATGTGCCATGCCAGCAAGTCAGGCAGCTCCTGGAAGAGCCAGAGGTTTTGAGGTAGGATGGTAGCCCAGGCCACAGTGAGTGCCAAGATCCCCACATCTGCCCCAGGGCCAGAGCCCTACATTTGTGCCAGAGTCACCCTGGGGATCTTAAGCTGCAGCTCCTGAGTCAGCGGGTTGGGGCCTGGGAATCTGCATTCCCACCTGCCCACACACACCTAGTGTGTGCTGCCAAGCCCCTGCAGGCACCAGGGGCTCCCTATTCACAGGCTCGGTATGGAGTCGGGCTCCTGGGCCAGCCTGTGTGCTCACAACCATCAGCAAACGCTGGGTGCTGACTTCGGGGACCAGGTGGACAAGATCTGCCCCAGTCAGCCAGGCTGCTGGGGATGAAGTTGGCTTCGTCTACCAAGAGGAACTAGGAAGCCTAGATGGGGCGGCCTGCAGAGTATCTCACTGGGGTCTGCGGCCAGGGAGGTGCCAGAGGCAGTGGCAGAGCCAAGGCTGGGGTGACATGGCACCCTTTCTCCGCTCCTGACTCTGTACATGAGACAACAAGGGGTAACGGTGGGCTTGGCCTGGGTGCTCATGCATGGGGGCTGCCCAGAGGGCAGTGGGCCAGGACCCTGAGCACAGCAGGGTAACTCTTTGCAGCCAGCGGTTCAGGAGATGGGGAATCCTAGGGCTTGGTCCCAGGCATTCAGCTGTTCGAGTCACTTCTCTCGAGTTCTCACCGAGTTCTCAGTGAGCTGGAGGCTCACTAGGCTCAGGACGTGGACTTTACCCGCTGGCAGGGGATAAGGCCTCCAAACGCTGTGTGCGTGTGCAGGTGCCTCCTGGACACGGGGCAAGGCCCGGCCCCTAGACTGAGCTGGGCACAGACACCCTGGCCCTGCATGGAGAAGATAGGGTGGGGGTGGCAGGCAGGGCTGCCTGGAGGAGATGCTGGGACCCCCTTACAAGAAGGCTCGTCTTGCAGACAGAAACAAGCCTGGGAGGTGTTGATCCTGCTAGAGTTGGGGAAAGTCAGTCCAGAGGAACCTGAACTTCACCCCATGGGCAATGGGCACTTGGGGAAGGAGGCTGAATCAGACCTGTGGCCAGAAGACCCTCTTGTGGCCCAGCTCAGACAGCCCTGTGACCCAGTTGGCATCAGGCCAAGGGCCTGCATGCAGAAGGGGTCAGGGGTAGGGGCAGGGGTTAGAATCTGTGCCAATCCCAGACTGGGCTCCTGTGGGGCAGGAGTCAGATGGGCATGGTTCACCTTGCTGTCTACAGCATCCACACATGGGCCAGAGGGCGAGGCTGGTTGGAGGGCATGACAAAGACAGATGGCTTCCTCCTAATTCTCCCCTCCAATACTGCAGCCCCCTCCAAGCTGTTCAGAACCTCCCACAGTCTCTTGCAGCTGCCTGGCTTCTCATCAGACCCCAGCCAAACCGACCTCCTTTCCGCTGCTCGGTTCCATTTTCCGAGACATTTTCCTCCCAGCCAGGAACAACGTTCACAAACTCTTCACTAAACTGGCTCCATCCCAATATTCTAACTTCAGCCCCCACCCTCTAGGACTCCTTCCTCCTACCCTCTCCCCACCATGAAGAATCCTCAACCCAGGACTATCTTGCAAAGGGACAGCTCCAGAATCAAAGCTTCACACTTAGCCCTCAAGGTGGCTCACACCTGTAATCCCAGCTCTTTGGGAGGCTGAGGTGGGAGGATCCTTCAAGCCCAGGAGTTTTGAGACCAGCCTGGGCAACAAAGTGAGACCCTCAACTTTACAAAAAAATAAATGATTAGCTGCGTGTGGTGGTGCATACCTGTAGTCCCAGCTACTTGGGAGGCTGAGCTGGGAGGGTCGCTTGAGGCTGGGAGTTCAAGGCAGGCCACTACCACACTCCAGCCTGGGCGACTGAGACCTCCTCTCAAAAAACAAAACAAATGGTCTTGGTGAGGTGCCACTGTTTCTTCCGTCCTTGGTCTCTGCGCCTTCCACAGAGCTTCCAGCAGCTCTATGTTGGGCCAGAGCATCTGGAGGTTCACAATCTCTGCGATCTGTAGGTGCCACTATGAGGAGGCTCCTGGGAAGAATTTGCCATTTTCAGTGGAAAACAAGTGGCGTTTACTAGCCATGATGTGTTTGTACTTTGGATCCGGATTTGCTGCACCCTTTTTTATAGTAAGACACCAACTGCTTAAAAAATAAGGGTGTTTCAGCTCATCCATTTAACGGATATAAAGAGCATTTTAAGAGGTGCAGTCTCTGGAAAATGTATCAAACTCAAACTCATATGGCATACTAGATGTGTGTGTAAACAAACTTATAACATGAAAACAAGCAAACAAAACTTCACCCCTGCCTGGAAACGTGTTTTCATTTGCGTCCACTGTGAAAACTCAACTCTAAGCACACGGAAAGGCATTTTAGGCCAGATGCGGTGGCTCACACCTGTAATCCCAGCACTTTGGGAGGCTGAGGCAACTGGATTACCAGATCAGGAGTTCGAGAGACCAGCCTGACCGACACGGTGAAACCCCTTCTCTACTAAAAAATACAAAAATTAGCCGGGTGTGGTGGTGCGCACCCGTAATCCCAGCTACTCAGGAGGCTGAGGCAGGAGAATCACTTGAACCTAGGAGGCGGAGGTGGCAGTGAGCCGAGATCGTGACACTGCACTCCAGCCTGGGTGACAGAGTGAGACTCCGTCTCAAAAATAAAAAATAAAAAAGGCATTTTGTGCCCAAGAGCTGGAGATTGTTCCATCAGCGCACACAGGCAATGCCCACTGGATCTTTGAGTGGTGGTGGAAAACTCTGGTGAATGCAGAGGTTTAGAAGGGCAGAAAGAGTCCTGGAGAACGAATTTCCTTAGAACGAAGTTGTGGGGGTGCGGGGAAGAGGGGGCACGCTGGGACATCCGGGGCGCACCCCTTGGCCTAAGAGCAGAAGCTCCTGAGGTGGTGTGTCCCAGCCTTTGACAGAGAGGGAAACTGAGGCTGAGTAGCTGGAAGGCCACTGACGACGAGGGTGTCGGTAGGGAGGAGCGAAGGGGCCCGGCAGCTCCCAGGGGAAGGGCTGGGGAGGGAACTTAGAAGTGCCCCGAGAACACGCAGGGCGGTCACCTAGGCCAGCCCAGGGCGCAGCGGGGGGCGACCTTTGCGCAGGGCGGGTCCCTGGCAGCCCTGGCCCGGACGCGCCGCCACTGAGGAGCCGAGCGCCCTGGAGGACGCGCCGGGGCAGAGCCGGGGTCCAGGCGCCGTCGCCATGGACATCCCGCCGCTGGCCGGCAAGATCGCGGCGCTGTCGCTGAGCGCCCTCCCGTTGTCCTACGCGCTCAACCACGTCTCGGCGCTCTCGCAGTGCGTGCGGGGAGGGGCCGGGGCCGCCTCTGGGGGCAGTGGGAGCGGGCAGAGGCGGGGAGGGGCGGAGAGGGGCGGAGGGGGGCGGAGGGGGGCGGGAGGGACGATGCGCCGGCGGCGGACTTGACTCCTGCGAGCCCTGCGTCCCAGCTCAGCTCCAAGCCCACGGGAACGCGGCTGGGCCGAAAGAACGCCCCCTTCTAACCGGAAGTCCCCTTCCCGCCGGGCTGGAGGCTGGGATGCGGCCGCTCCTGGGATATTTGGGGCCTGGGGAGAAGGAATGATGAGGAGAGCCCCCACAAGACAGAGTTTTGGAGGATTTCTGGGGGTTTCCCAGGGATGGGCCCTGTACAGGCTCCAAAGTCACCAAGTTAAAAGTACACGTACACGCACACGCGCGCACACACACACACACACACACACACAGCGGCCTGGGATTTTCCTCTTGTTCTGGGCTGGCTCACCATGTCCCTAAACTACCTTTCCCGGTCCCTGTCTCCTAACCCTACATCCTAGCCCTGCAGGTCCAGCCACTGGATAGCGGCCATCTGCAAGCCCCTCGCACTTCTAAACCCAGCTCAACACAAGCCATGGGGTGGAGACAGTCATGACTGTAGGCCTGGCTCCATCTCTTGGTAACCTGGGTGAACCAAGTTCTTCTGGGAGCCTCAGTTTCCTCATCAGTGTGATGGGCATAATCCTAGATCTCATCCCACAGTTAGGTTACAGATTACAAACTGTTTCAGGAGCGGTGGCTCACGCCTGTAATCCCAGCACTGTGGGAGGCCGAGGCGGGCAGATCACCTGGGGTCGAGAGTTCAAGACCAACCTGACCACCAGACCCACATGGAGAAACCCCATCTCTACTAAAAATACACAAATTAGCCAGGTGTGGTGGCACAAGCCTGTAATCCCAGATACTTGAAAGGCTGAGGCAGGAGAATTCCTTGAACCTGGGAGGCGGAGGTTGTGGTGAACCTAGATTGCGTCATTGCACTCCAGCCTGGGTAACTCAGTCTCAAAAAAAAAAAAAAAAAAAAAAAAGATTACAAACTGTGTACAAAGATTTGTCCTGGTCTTATCTGAGTACTTTAATGTCATTGTTAGATGGGGTCAGGATAGAGATCTTGGGGGCGGAGGGGATCGTGAGAAGGTAGGGGCCTGGAGAGTGATGGACAGAGTCTTGCTGTGTGACCCTGGACAACTGGACATCACTCCTGTCCTCCTTGGGCCTGGATTTGCCCACCTGGGTCGAGGGATGCCCAGAGATGTGGCTTCTGTTACCTCTGCAACCGGTTGACCTGTCTTATCACGTTGGTGCAGATCAGGGCAGGGGCAGGGTGGAGCTGAGGAGGCATTTGGACTTTAGCTGGGAGGAGTCGAGCCTTGGACAGTGAAGTCCACAGAACTGAGCGCTCGAGACCCTCTGGCTTGGGAGCTGGGCCTGGCCACAGAGGGACTTGATGTTGTTGAATGACTGAACAGCCTGAGTCAAACACGTAATGATGGGATAAATGGTACCGTCAGAGGGTCAGGTCTGGCGCGGCTCACCCCTATAATCCCAGCACTTTAGGAGGAAAGTAGATGAATCATCTGAGGTCAGGAGTTCAAGACCAGCCTGGCCAACATGATGAAACCCGTATCTACTAAAAATACAAAAATTAGCTGGGCAGGATGGTGGGCACCTGTAATCCCAGCTACTTAGGAGGCTGAGGCAGGAGAATCACTTGAACCCAGGAGGCAGAGGTTGCAGTGAGCTGAGATCACACCACTGCACTCCAGCCTAGGCATCAGAGGTCAGTCTCAAAAAAAAAAAAAAAAAAAAAAAAGAGGGGGGCTGATGAACATCCTCTCTGTAGCTGGCCCAAGTTAAACAGTGATCCTTTCTGGGGAGTCAGGGAGGGCTTCATGGAGGAAGAACAATGTGAATGGGCCACGAAGGATGAGTAGGAGTTTGCCAAGTGGAAAAGGATTCTGGAAGCGGCTTCCAGAAGGAAGTAATAGCCTGAGCAACGGCCTGGTGCAGGGTGAGAGCCGTTTCAGGGAACAGCACTGATGGATGAACAGACACTTCAGTCTCTTCCCTGGGGATTCTTGGAGTCTGCCCTTTCCCCCCCCAGGAGGGTGGGGCGATGCCTCAGCACTGGGCCTGGCCTCCCTGACTTGGTTTCCGTCTCCACAGCCCCCTCTGGGTGGCACTGATGAGTGCCCTAATCCTGGGTCTGCTCTTCGTGGCGATCTACAGCTTGTCCCATGGCGAGATCTCCTATGACCCACTCTGCGCTGGTGAGTCAGTGGGAAGCTGTGGGGAAGAAGACTGTCTGGGAAAGGGCCTCCACCCTCAGACTTGGGGGCCATTGAAGGGCCTCCTCCATCAGACTGGGGGACATTGAAGGGCAACCTCCATCAGACTGGAGACCTCAAAGAGATTTGAACATTCCCATTAGACTGAGGAACCTCAAAGAGCCTCTGCCTTCAGACCTGGGGCTCCTAGGAACAGGAACTGCATCTCCCCCACCAGATTGGAAGCTCCTGAAAAAGTGTACCGCCTCATCACTGTGAGATCCTGAGGGCAGGGATGGTGCCTCTCCCATAAGACTGGGGACTCCTAAAGGCAGGCACTGGGGCCTTCCAACCAAACCAGGGACATCCGAAGGCCAGGCTGTGCCTCCCCCATCAGACATGCAGAACGAGGCAGGGACTGGGCCTGGAATCCTTGCCGGCAATCATCTCATCCCTGACCTTAACGTCAAGCCCCGCCCACACTGACCCCCTAGTCCCACCCACTCGTGTCTCCTCCCACACCTGACCCCGCCCCCCCACTCCCTGCAGTCTTCGCGGTCTTCGCCTTCACCTCGGTTGTGGACCTCATCATCGCTCTTCAGGAAGACGGCTATGTGATGGGCTTCATGGAGTTCTGCACCAAGGAGGTATTTGGGGGACGGCCAGGGATCTCCCTGCCCCACTGCCCGTCTGAGCCTCCCACCTGCCCCCACAGGGAGAGCCATACCTGCGCACAGCGCACGGAGTCTTCATTTGCTACTGGGACGGCACCGTTCACTACCTCCTCTACCTGGTCATGGCCGGCGCCATCTGCAGAAGGTGCAGGGGGCAGGGAGGGGTGGCATCTGACCCTGGGAGAGAGGTTTTGTCCTCAGGTGGGATCCCAGGGCAGGGTGGAGCCAGAAGCGTCTGTAGGAGAAATCAGGACGCCCCTTTAGGGCTCCAGCCAGGGGTGGCCGGCAGAAGGTTCCTGGGAACGTCTCAGGTGTAGGAAGTGGCCTCAGGTGTAGGAAGTGGCCTGGCATTGCCTACATCCACCCAGTGCCTGGGCAGCCGCTTCTGTCCTTGGACAGAGGGTCTCACTGTTCATTCCCCCATTCAACTCCCTGTTGTCCTTTCATCCTGGACAAAACTGAGAAGGACCCGGAGCTGGGAAGCTCACGGTGGTCTCTGGGTCCTGGCTGGGGCTCTGAGATTACGGAGTGTCTACCTGCTGGTCACCCCTCCATCCCCTGCCCAGGAGGAGATACCGGAACGTTGGACTCTACTGGCTGGGTTCCTTCGTCATGAGCATTCTGGTGTTTCTTACAGGAAACATTCTTGGTAAGGACAAGGCTTGGAAATCTGGTCTCTCTTAGGCCAGGTCACTGCCCTGCACCTAGAAGCCCCCACCATTGGATCCTCCATCACTTTCCTGATGTCTGCAGAGGCTCCACCTCCCTCTTTGTGTGTCCACAGCCTCAGTCTAAAAAAAAAAAAAAAAAAAAAGAAGGGACTGATGAATGTCCTCTCTGTAGCTCGCCCAAGTTAAACAGTGATCCTTTCTGAGGAGTCAGGAAGAGCT